AACTGATTGCGAGTGGATAAGACCGCTTTTGTCGGAGAAATGGTGGAACCAACCCGTTTGTTATGAAATAAACTATCTTTAAAAATGAGTCCGTCTTCAGCACTTTTGTCTTTAATGTACGTATGAAGTTTTAAGCCGTAATAAAGGCGTAAATCGTTATCCCTTGTCAGCTTTTGTGCGGTCAATTCACCGGATCAAATCTTTTGAGCTGAAAATAAACACTCAAAATGCAAATGATTGCACACTTCCTGTGTAGTGATATGAATCACTCATTGAATCCAGCTTTTATATTGCTCACGACAATAGCTACTTCCGAAGAACAGCGAAAACTAAACGCGGTGGGTATTCAGTTGGCTGAATTAGAAGCAGGGCCAGTCCGTAATATTTAACGCCAGTCCGTAAGATTTTACGCCAGTAACTAACGGCATAATTTCTTTCAGTCGGTAGTGCTTATGTGTAAGATTTTACGCTAATAACTAAAGGCGTAATTTCTTCCAGTCGGTAGTGTTTGTGTGCAAGATTTTACGCCGGTAAATAACGGCGTAATTTCTTCTAGTCGGTAATGTTTATGTGTAAGATTTTACGCTAGTAACTAACGGCGTAATCTCTTCCAGTCGGTGGTGTTTATGTGCAAGATTTCACGCCAGTAAATAACGGCCAGTTCCCACACCGAACATGATTGTTTATCATTCTTTTCGGTTTGCATTTCGCAAGCGAAGAATGGTGAGGTCCTTGTTGTTGTTTATTTCATGTGTTTGAGAAGTACTCATATTCCTTGTCTTTCCACGTGACTTCATTTGCGCTTTTCTTATCTTATGAATATCGAACCAGTTGTAGTTTCCATCGCATTTTAATAACAGAAGTACATCATTTGTAATAAAGTTTAAGCCCTTTCCTGAGCTGGCTGATATCCTGTTGTGTGAACAGTGCGAAACCTCAGGCGGATACTCAGTTATAAACTCAAGCTCAAAGGGGCCGTGTATTCTCCTAACCTTGGTTTCCGAAAATCCATCCCACGAGGACAGCTGATTATTTATTAAAAAGTTAGCTTTTGGTTTGCTAAGGGAATTATTCTACAGCAACGAAACTCTAGAGCACTGACCGATGGAAACCTTCGACGCACTTAGTGCGAAGGAGTGGAATGTCATGGGAACAGAAATGAACACACTACATATTCTTAACATAGATTTCGCCATGGAAAACAAACAAACGCAACAAACTAAACATTCTGTAACAGGAGTTTTTTGGTCCTAATCTTGACCCTCGTTTAAAATGTTTTCTGATTTATGGATACATTTGTTTGACAACGGTTTTAAGCTACAGCTAGTTAAATATTTAAAATTTCAAATGACACGTACCATCCATGTTTAGAAATTCCGTGTTTGAGTTAAAACCTGTCCTTCTCGATCACAAAAAGCCCCTTTCACACAGAAAAGGTTTTTCCTCGCACAAAGGGCGAAGGCTCTGCTCAGAAATTAAGAAATTCTATTGACCCGTACTGGTAAATTCTTTGGGGGGAAAAATGTATAGTCCGAAAACAAACACATCGTTATCTCTCTCAAACGAACTTCTGTTGGCCGAATAGTGGTGAATAGTGACGAATAGTGGCGAATAGTGGCGAATAGTGGCGAATAATGGCGAATAATGGCGAATAGTCAAAATAAATGAATTAATAATGAAATAAAAATATTTATTGCCCTGTTTAGTAGATTTATTGGATTCAAATGTGTGTATATCCCGGTTATTTGACAAAAAAAAGGCATTGGGTAACATAAAAATTGTGTTTCAATCATGTATGCTATCATTCTGAAATAAATAAAACAGAGGTACTACTTATCTGATTCGCAAACAAACGAGTTAATCACCGACACTGGGATTCCTCGCGACTCTCCAAGGTTTGTTTTCCAATTTGCCTGGGCCGCTACCAATCACTTCTTGCCTAAAAACCAACGAAACCTGCGAAGTAGAACAATGGTGGCTACTGTTGCTTGCCGATATTTTCCGTCGACAAAACGTAGAAGTCAGTAAATGTGACCGATTCTACCCGGGAAATTTTATTATCTGGAGCTTGGATAAGTCAGGAGAGTTTCATTGACAGCTGAATTACACTCCATGTTGTGAAACCACTTATAAAACCATCGCGCTTTTTCCTCGCTTTTTTTGGCACATACAAAAAGGAAAACGTGAGGCAACTGAAATATGATTCATGCTAACCCGTGAGTATCATTTAGCATTGGCACAAGTCGAGTAAACAGGCACACGCATGACTAAACAGAGGAGGATCGAAAACAGGAATTGGCGATATTTTCTATAACAATTATAGTCCAGTGTTTAGGTGCCAGTTTCGCATTCGCATGACAAAAAGTTAAAATACTAATGGTCTGCCTCTCCCTCGATAAAATGGTCCAAAAAATATTCCAAAAAAATGCATCGTTGCTGCAACGTTTTTTATTTCCTTTGATGAAAAATGCATTACTCGAAACAGTGGCTGCCTTGGAACATAGTTATCAATGTATGGTTTCAGATGCAGAGCTAATACCCAATGTTGAAGTAAGCTATTGTACGTTTATATATAAGGGTGCGGTCATTTTCTTGTGCTAAAGACATCATTCAGCGCTACAAAATTAATGCAAAGCAGTCAAAGTTAGGTTTCAGATGCAGATCCTTAGTTAGAATGAAAAGTTACATTCTCAATGCATAAAAATTGTAAAATTTATCTTTAGAGCTCAAAGGTATTGTTCTGCTTTTTCGACTCAGTCTGTTGTTTTGCATTCCCGGCCTCTTTAAACTATTTAGACTAAATTTTTCTTAGCAACAGTTAAATGTAACAAGTATGCTCCTACAGTGTAAGTATTATATCCATTGTTAGAGGAGGACGTGTTTGAGTTTAATACCAGCGTTTGTTGGTTAGAAAAATCCGCTTTCATTAGCTAAGTACTTTCTCTAAACAAACCGCAAAAACTCTTCTGATAAAAACAAAAATAAACTAAACCACAATAAAATCCTATTAACCTGTACTAACAGATCCCTTCTTCAAATCGTTTCATTTGAATGTAATAACCATGAATGGCCTTGATTTTGCTGGACAAGTGTCGACGCGTAAATCTCCTGTTTTTGCTAGTAAACGGCTTAAGTGCCAAAAGAAACATCTTGCAATCTCTCAAGTGAAAACTCCTTTTGAAAAGCTCACAACGATTAAATTCATCCGATATTTAATGAAAATATTGCAGAATTCTAAAGCAACGGTCGACAATCTTACTCATTCTAAATGTTCTGTTTCGATCGCAGATTGTAACCTCGTGTGCAGCAGGCATGTTAACTGAACGTAAAGCTAGAGTAATCATTACTCAGTCAATGTACTCTCATTCTTGAAGTAAAAACCGAAGCTCGTATCGATGTTTATAATTATCAACTTCCTGATCAGAAAAAACAAAGTTGAAACATTTGGCCGCGAACGAGTTGCAAGGATTTAAAGCAGATGCTAAAATTACTTTTTCCATGTGGAGAGTTTACTTTTAATGATGTTTGTGGCATGTCGAAGCACAAAATATGTTACCCAGTGCCGGACGAATTGCGACGATCGCGTAAGATATTCATGAATCGCCATAACGTATAGCCGGTAACGGCCAAAACATTTGTGTAAAAGCATATTCCATCGGATAGCCGGAGCTATTTTTAAGGGATGGTAAACAATACCAAAAATGAGAAATAATGTTGTTGTCAACAACTCATTGTTTTCGAGAACACTACGAATCTCAAGCGAATGATTTCCCTTAGTCACACGTCCAGTCACGTGCCTTCAACTTGATTCAATCAACGCAGTAAACAAATTACGAAAACCATCATGATTCTCGGAATTAGCTCACAAGCCAGAAACTTCTCTTCGATAATGTGAAGGCGTATAACTTTTAATTAATTTTTTAATATTAGAGTTGTGACAACGGGAATGATCTTCGGCAACAAAGAAAAAAAATCACGGTAACTATTTTGTGCATACCAACAATGTTTACGCTTGGGAACCATACGGCGTTAAAATTCATTTGTCACAGCCATTTGTTTATTAATATTTAGCTTACCCATCACGGTTGAGTGTTATTGAGTTCAAGTGATATGAAAATAACTTATGTTCAACACATATTAAAAAAACCAATCATAGCAATAGGGAGTTGATATTTTAAGTTGGTAAATCTTTTGGTAGTTTTCATTATCTGTTAAAAGCTCTTCAAAGAAAATTAAATATGTTCGTTTTGTAACTATGTGATCTCTCACTTAAAAGACTTTATCTTAAGAGAGAACTACATTAACCCAGTCGATCTGAGACTACCTGATATCCAAAGAGTTCTGTGAATGGTTAAGAAAGTAAATTTTCTGAGTTGAAACGGTTTTCAGTGACTTGTCTTAAATGTTTGACTTGAAAATATTTACAAAATTTAGGGACTAATTATCTGTCTAGGAACTTTTTTTATTTGAAATGACCTTTTAACTGGTTCACTAGCTCTCGAATAACAGCCGTTCAATCAATTTAACCTTTTCACCCCCAGATCTGATTAGTAAATCTCCGTACTGTCTGCCAACCAATTCTTATGATGTCAGTTCGGAGAATTTGGTAATGGATCGACTAATAATCTCCCAATTGACATTTTACTTCATTCTCATCACTTGTCTGCTTGAAATTGTATTGATATTGTAAGGAGAAAATCTTTCTTGGTCACTCACGGGAGTTAAGAGGTTAAGCTGGGACTTCCTCTTGCCTGGAAAATGTGATTGGTCATTCTTTAACCTCAAGAGGATTTTTCGTTAAATTTATTCAGCGCAGAAAACATTCCCTGAAAGTTCTGTTACTGTACATCGGAAAACATACTTTACAATGGTTGTTGTTTTCTACCTTTGTAGTTTTTGTAACAACGCTGTTATCATCAGAATATTTTGGATAGTCAAGCTAATGAGTATTTTGGCATCGTTCTCTAATTTCGTACTGTAAAGTTAGTCAAACAACTTACAGTTTGCCGAGTTCTTCATCATTGATCTCTCTGTGCATTTCCCATTCCAATTCTCCAATCCTCTTTGAGTCCCTGTTTTCATCCTCATCTTCCGACTCTGCAAATCCAATAAAGAAATTCATCAGTAACATAAAACACACACGGTTAGCTTTATTTCGTCAGATAAGCCATCTAGTATGTTTAAACTAGCACTACTGGTCTTATTAGAGTCCTTATAGCCTAGCTTTAGGTGGTGTAAAAATTAAGGATTATTCTTCAAGCAACTTGTCGGTAAAGGGCAACGTCTCTTAATAATTGCTCGGGGGTTGATCGATGATCTTCAGAAAAACTTGCCAGACTTTTGGCAATTTCTCGGAAAAAAATTATTTGACTGTTATCAAAAATTCTGCTCAAGTTTTCGAAAAAGCGATTACTGATAACGACAAATTTCTTTTCAGGACGCCCCTTACTGAAAGATCACATTAAAAGATCTCAAAAAACCTTCAAAACGAACAGAATTTTAGGTTGAAAAAGTTTAACATCATCGACAATGTTTGATTGATTGACAATATTAAGTCACCTCTTCTATGAACATATTTCACGCGCAAGTTTCTTTTAATTATAACATTACAGACAATGACAAAGAATTTCTTCAATACCAATGTTTACCATCAACAAAGTATCTGCCTGCAGTATTGTCACTTCTTCAAACAGTACTGTAAGTCATCTCCTTCAAACAGACATCGAATAGATTGGGGAATGGAGAAAACTACGAAATATTTTTGTTTTCAGCAAAATAAAATGTTCAGTTTACTGGACGCAAACCAGCCCCATAAACTATACATAACTTAATCAGTCGTCACAAACTAAATAACAAACCTTATTGGATGCTTCCCTCCATCTTCATTTTCCTCCCTTGTATCTCTTGATTTCCAAATTTTTGCTTTCATTCTATTCTTGACCCTGCCCTTGAAGAAAAAAGAATGTTATGAGAGTACATGTACGACTTTCTTTAAATAAGTGCTTCGTAATATCCAAAAATGTATCGTTTTTTTCGGCTGCGAACGAAAAAGGAAAATAGCAGATAATTTTTTTTATCAGCTTAATCCTAGCAATAATAGTTTTAGGCTTGCCATTTTAATCAACTTCAAGATATTCTCTAGAAATATGTCGAAGTTATGGGAATATTTGTCAGGCTAAAACATCGCTATAATAGATAGGTTAGATGAATTTTCATGTACGATAACCATTACATAACTCTTTGACACCAGTTATTTATTATCAACAGAAACAAAGAAAAAGATTAATCACACCAAAAGCGCTCTAAAGTAAGGGAATATGTCATTTCTTTTTTTTTTCTTTCGACCCGGTTAGTTTCTACTTGCAGTCCGTTAAATCCAGATTTACGCGTTCACAGCACATCAGTCGTACATACATTTGTATGCTAGTATTGTTTTTGTTTGGTTGTTTTGTTTCGTTTTGTTTTTTATAAGAAAATATGGCGCGCAATGTACATCACATAAAAAGCAGGTGCATGGTAAATAAATCTGCCTTGACACCGTGCGGAATTTCTTCGCTTAACCCTTTAACTCTCATTAGTGACCAAGACAGAACTTCTCCTTACTACCATATCTGGCAGACGAGTGATGAGAATAAAGAAAACGTGTCAATTAGGGGAACATTAGTTGATCCAATGTCAAATCTCCAAACTAATATCATTGTCCTACCACTCAGTCCATCAGTGTGGGCGGCCGAACGAGAAATTATTTGGCTTAGCAGAGAGCCAAATAATTTCTCGTTCAGCCCCACCTAACTCGGGCAAAGAGCAGTTTTTCATTAAACCACCTCTCGCTTCGCCTTACACCTTTTCCCGGCCCTAGCGCCCCATCGCGTCAGACTCTAATACGAGTGTAAAAGGAACGAGCAGCTGAGGGGCCATACAGGTCATAATTTGATGAATTCGGCTGCGAACTGTTGCTGAGATACTTGACAAAAAATGAAGTACAACAAAGGCAAATTGATGAAGTAAATCAATAAAGGTAGAAAAAGCACCTAGTGAAGACAAGTAAAGACGTTTATATCGCTTTGATCAACCACACGATGCTTTTGAAGTTCATTTTTTAAATATTTTTTTTTAATGAAACCAAGACATGTTTCGGATGAAGCATCATCCATTGTCAGTTGTATAATGAGAAATAAAATGAAATTATGCAATAAATAATATAACAAAGTGAGATGTTAACAAGAATATGGCAGACAGTAAGGAGAATTGCTAGTGAGATCTGGGAGTAAAAGGGTAAACCGTTAACCCCTAAGAGTAACTAGCATCTAATTTCTCCTCACAATATCATCCCCAAATCACACATTAAGGTCATGAGAATAAAGGTTATGGTCAACCAGAGAAGCTCCGGATTATGAAACAAATTCTCCTCATCAGCACCTTAGGTAATGTATAGGGAACAGTTTGGAGAATATGCATACTGATTTTAGGGCGGAAGAGGTTAACTGAATTACTAACCAGGTTAAAAGTTGTCCGGTTTCTTTTTCCTCCCTCGAATTTCTTACTTCGAGAAGTTCACATTCTATGCTTGATGTTGTTCTAAAGAGAGAACCAAACTTCGAGATACAAATGAATTGATTTCTAAAACGTTCACATCATTCTTTAAGTATGCACATCAGTTTAATGCGTAAGAACGGTATCTATATCGACAGAACTCCATCAGGAGATAATAAAAGTTTACATTCTAATACAGAGAAGAAACATTACATTCAACATCCTTCGAGAAAGTGAAAAGCAATTTGAGATAAAGGCTATTTATTCCCCGCACACGAAACTAATTATAACTCCCACAGCCATTAACGTATGTTCCGGTATCTGTGGTATGATGGCACATGTACTAAGAGCCTCGCTTCTTCTTCTTCTGGTGGGGCACCCTTAAGTAGTTTGTCAGATTTCTCTGACAGTTCACCGGTAACTATTTAAACACCTGGCGGAGAGTTATTGTGAATGTTGAATTTTCTCACCAAAGCACATAACACAAGGATTATTTAAAAGTAGCGACGTATCCAAATAATTCAAAACATGCATCTTCTATTATAAGTTTAGTAAGGACTGGTCTTTCAAATTACTTTACATGTAATGCCCTTATACCAGATAACTTGAGTTAAAACACGACATATTACATAGAACTTATCTTATGAGGAAAAAAGTGGTAAGATCCTTAGCCCAAGTGGATTTTGTTAAATTTGATAATGAATCAATATGTAGAATAGATCCATACTTTTTCCAAATACTGGTGCTTCTTCTTTGATTCAAAAGGTGATGAGGCTTTTTGGGGGCAAATTAAAGATGTCTATCAGGTATGCTATACCTGGAAAAGTACATCTCTATACGCTTGTACTTCTTTACTTCTGCCGACCTGCAAATTTACAAATCGTTTTTCCTTCATTGGCAGCTTTGTCAAGGCATACTGTTACTTAATTATCACATTAACTTGCTGATAAAGCTGAATACAAATAAATGGTATTATCTACTGATCTCACAGCATGAATCAAACTAGACAGCTGTAGTCAGTTGGATGATCATGCTACTTGAGAAATTTATTTTTTGTCTTCAAAATCAATAACAAGTGCTTTAGAGATAGACTACGGTTTACCACCTGTTTGTTTATCTTGAATCACAAATCACCATCAAGGTTGTAAATTAAAGCACATGCACATTGCAAGTCTCAGTTTTTTATGATGTAGGCTTCAAGAAATGTTTAAAAGGCGTGTGAATTACTATGTGGAAGGTATAATATCTTTCTTTTGCTTTTCAAATGCCTTTAACCTGCCTTCCAAATGGCAAATTTGGCATGCATGTGAAAAGTTGATGTGAAATACAATGAAGGCATGAAAAACATGTGAAGACTGTGAGTTAATTTTATCATTTTTAAGTACTGGGTTACAGACAAATATGCATCTGGTGAAAAGGTACAAATAAATCATATATATTAATTTTTGATATGATAAGACTTGCCTCACTGTCAATAGCATATTTGCTGACCAAGAAGCAAGCTCCTCGATATAACAAAAGGGACAGGACTTCTCCAACAAGACGAGGAATGATACCACTGTTGACAGCAATAGATGACATTTAACAGGACACAAATTAAATACTATTGTTAGGTGATTCCTAGTTGAATTATTTCTCAACCAATAGCCACAAAACTCTTCTTTGCAAAGCCACTAACATTGTTAATAGTTGCTTTTGAATTAAGCAAAGTACTTGCTGAATGAGAAATTTCTAATTAAAAGTAACACTTCTTTTGTTCAAGCTACATTTTGTGCCTGGACCACTTGGCTACATTTGATTGATTTTCAGCCAAGAGTGCAACTACTGCTGATTCAATTTTTCAATTATTCCACTTAGAAAAACTGATGATTATTGCAAGAAACTACATAATGATTCAAATCACAGTCACAAAGGATAAAAAACATGAAATATAAGTTTTCTTAATTTTAATGCCATAATTAGTCAGTAACAGAACATTCATTTCCTACCTAAAAAATCCACCAAGTCCTTCATTGTTATAGATCTCTTTAACTGATGCACATAGTCCACTGAAAACAGATTTATTAACACAGGCAATAAGATAAAGATATTTAACATGTACATGTATTGTCCATGATTGGCACATTCAAGTAATGAAAGGAACATTCAACTTATCATCCTTGTGTGTAGGACATCTTAACCCTTTAACTCCCAGAAGTAGTAAACACATAACTTCTCTCTATAATTTCCATACATTATCCAAACATGTAATGAGAATATTGAAACTTATTGGGCAGAAGTCATTATCTTAATCTAACACCAAATTAGTCTCATAACTAATTCCCAATGATATGTGTTGCAGCTGGAGGGGAGATTTAATAATCAAATGTTGGGAGTTAAAGGTTAAAACAATAAAAAAGGTGCCATTACATCTCCAAATAGTAAGTTGAATTTGAAAAGTGAGTAAATTTTGAGAAAATCTGCCAATTCAAGGAAAAAAGTACGCTTAAAATTTAAAAATTGTCAAATGGAGATGAAAATTAATGTAGCAGAATGTGGAAAAAGAACTGACCTGTAAATAGTTTCTTGACCAACAAACTGAACCATCATTCTGACTGAGATCACTTGAAATTAAATTAGAGAGGTGTCATTGGTCAATCAATATTTGCTAAAAACATATATAAATAAATAAATAAATAAAAATACAAATTACAGAAATTATACACTACTTATCTACTTTAATTTTGTTACCTAGAAATTAATAGCCCTAGATGTCTCACCCTCAATTGAAATTCAAGCCATTATGATCTAAGGTTCAGTTTTGTTACTTTACCATAAAATGGGTGACTGATAATGATACCACTGCATTTTGCCACAGCCTGTACACAGGTCTTAATAGAAAAAAAAATTTGTTAGTCTTAACATCAACACTGAGGTAAGTGACCCAGACCAGGCCTTCAGTACTTATCCTTTCTTTCAACACATAAATCCACTAGGAGTATGGCTACTTAACCTATGGATATGATCCTGATCCATTGCACAATAAACCCCCCACCCTGCATTCCATCACATTTTCCTGACAGTTTACAGGTAACCATTTATAATTATTCCTCCAATACATGTATGCATTGACTAAGAGGAAGCAAAGTGTGTCAGAGTCTGACAGACACCCCTTTGACCTGTTGACCCATAAGAGTGACTAGCATCTAATTTCTCCTTACAATATCACCCTGAATCAAATATCAAGGTCACAAGAATGAAGGAAATGATCACCAACTAAAGAAGCTATTGATTATCAAACAAATTCTCCCATTCAGCACCCTAGCAAATGTACAAAGAACAGTATGGAGATTATGCATACTGATGTTAGGGTGTAAAGAGTTATTCAAAGTTCAAACCCATACCCATACCCCTCAGTCCAGAGTTTGGTGTACAAACCATTGTGCTAAATAATATATATTCTAAAAAGTCAGAATCCGGCACCCCCATTTAAACAAGGAGTAAGAGAAAAATTGGTCAAAATACCTCTTCAAAAAACTCTAGCAATTCTTCTTGCCTGTTCTAAAAATTTCAAGAAGAAACAGAGAAAAACAAATTAACATACAGAGCTGTACCATTCAAATCATTCTAATTAAGATAAATTATAACATATTAAAATAAAAAAGAGCAACCCCACCTTATTTTCTGGAGGAACCAGGGGGACAAGGGCATTGTCTTTTTTATCCATAGCCTATTCAATACACAATTCACATAAGACTATATCACAATTGCATGATGTAAGGTAAGAAATTCACATTATATACTTTGGAAAAATCAAACTACAGAAGGAATGTGGTAAACTAATTATAGTTTAAGTGAATCCATAGTAATACCTGTAGCATTGTATTGTTTACAAGAGTTCCAATCATCTTTTATGTGGAGACATTAAGTGAGAGCACTTTTATTATAGAATATCAACATTCAAATCAACCTATTTACTTTTAACCCACTTTTTTTGGCAGAAATTACACATTATAGAGTTTTTTTTACTAGAGCCATGAGGCCCATCCAGGTGCAGCTTATCCTGGTTTCCATAGCATGAAGCCAAAAGAAATATTACTACTTCCCCCTGAATGGGATGCTTAAGTCCATCTCAAGGTTACCCCCTGTATTTCATCAGGCTTTCCTGACAATTAACCACCACCTATTTATACTCCTGGGTAAAGAAAGGTACTGTGAGAGTGAATTGTTTTGCCCAGGATCACAACACAATGACCCAGCCAGGTTTTGAATGTGGACTTCTACAACCGGAGCCCAGCGCACTAACCATTAATTAATAAATGTGATTCCTCAGAAAAAGAAACTCATCAAAAAATTTCTTTTAAACTTTCCTTAAATTCTTCCTACCAATGTTTGTTTGGAAAAAAACATTTCAAAAGAAAGATCACTCAGTGCTTGTGTAAGAGATATGATGAGCCAAATTTATACTCCACAAATGCCTGTACAGGCACTAATCATATGCATCATTTCATTGGTTCAAAATACATTTTGAGGTAGTTGGAGGCAAGGGTTTTAAAGTAAAGCTTGAAAAAAACTTGATAGGTAGAAACAATTTGATGCATAATATAAAACAATTTGATACATAATTTGTGGAAAAATCATGCAATTTTAGATGAAAAAACGTTCCTTGAGTGATTGCTTTAAAGGTCATAACTTTCATCATTGAGTAATGGGCCTTTTGTATGGTTTTAACCATCTTTTTTTCCCTTCAATGATTTCTTTTTTAATTTCTCTAA